ATTCCTTCGTACTCATTCCAACTAAGATTTATACTTTATTTTATACACCCATTTGTAGCCTATAGGATACTTTCCTTTAGGCAGATTAGTAACAGACCAGGTTTTGTTCAATTCCATGGCATTTAGTTCAGCTATCATGGCATCTCTCCAATGAGCTTCCTTCACAGCTTGATGGTAATACTATGGTTCAAGACTTGAAGACATATTTAAGATAAGGTTTTTATGTGAAGGAGAGAATTTAGAATAGGAAAGATAATTGCTCAAGGGATAATGATGAGGTGAAGGAATGATAGAAACTAATGAATAGGATAAGAGATTACAGTGGAATTCCTGTAGGTAATAAGGTATTTTTCTTGTCCTTAGAGATCTTCTGAGAGTAGGAGCAGAAGGATTTTCCAGGGCAACATGGAGATTATTGCTGGAAGAACATCTATCAGTGGAATTAACACTGGGAGAAGGTATATCAATTTGAATGAAAATTTCATTATTAGGAGTAGGGAAAGATGTATCAGTGGCATGAATTGAAGGAGGGCTACCAACATAATGTCTATCAGTGGGCATAGCAGTGATAGGATTAGGCAAGACAATGTTGGGAAAAGAATCAATGACTTCAGGGGTCCTAGAAGCAGAATGAAAGGGAAAGATGTGTTCATGGAAAATCACATCTCTAGATATGAAAATCTGTTTGGAGATAATGTCATATAGCCTATACCCTTTGATTCCAGGATGATAGCCAATGAAAACACATGTCTTTACTCTAGGATGAAATTTTAAACGATGAGAGGTAGTGGTAGATGCAAAGCATAAGGAACCAAATACTTTAAGAAAGTTATAGTCCACTGGAATTTGATATAACAGAGTAAATGGAGTTTTGTTTTGGATAAGTGGTGAAGGAGTACGATTTATCAGATAGGTGGTTGTTAGAACACAATCACCCCAGAACGAAATTGGAACTTGTGATTGAAAGAATAAGGCTCTGGCTACATTAAGTAAATGTTGATGTTTTCTCTCAACATCAGAATTCTGGTAGGACATTCTGGGCAAGAAAACTGGTGTAGCATTCCCTTTTTGCTGAAAATCTCTGCGAAGCGTAATTCAGGTGCATTATCTGACCTGAAGGCCTTAATGGTCTTGTGAAATTGGGTTTCAATTAGACTGAAGAACTTGGGAATTATTATATGCATATCAGACTTCTGTTTCATCATATAAACCCATGTAAATCTGGTGCATTCATCAACAATTGTGAGGAAAAACTTATGGCCATCACGAGTTGGAGAACTATATGGACCCCAAACATCACAATGGATGAGATCAAAGGGGTATGATGATAAATGGTTGTTTGAAATAAATGGCAAACGTCTTTGTTTAGCAAGTGCGCAGATATAACATGGAATATTACTTTTCTTTTCACTTTTGAATTGCAATTGATCCTTTAAAAACTCCAACCTTTTGAAAGACAAATGTCCCAGTCTATGGTGCCAAACATGAGAGGTCACCTTATTTATCACAGAACAAACATGACTACTAATAGCTTTAAAATAATTACAATCAACCTTCTGCACATAGAAGAACTCAGCATCATTCTCAGGTCGAGTGATAGAACCATCTATAAAACCTACCTTGTTCTTTACTGATAAAGCTATGAACATAGCACGGCTCCAGGATGTGTAATTTTCACCGTTTAATTGCTATGAAACAAGTATGAGACCAGGATTATCTGAGCGATGAAGGAAATATGGATTGGAACCATCTTCAATGGCGGAATGACTCATCGAAGATGCTGAGATTTGAATAGGATCAATTGCCATGATCAATCAGCAAGAAAAACAATTGTGAAGCTAAGAAGCTGCTTAGCGCTCTGATACGATATTACAGAGAAGACGATTGATTGAGAGAAAATTATTATTCAACTGAATTGAATTATGAGATCCTTCCAGAAGTATAAATACAAGATAAAATGGGAAAAGGCGGGAAAATTAGTTACAACTAAAAGTATCGAACTAAAACATCAAGGTTCCAAACTGATACAGCAACATGTGCAGCTCACATCCAGCTAGATGATCCGTTGGCTTTGATAATTAACGTTCATTATTCCGAAAATA